CCCGCGCCCCGCCGCCTCTGGGCCCCGGTCTGGCTCTGCTGGGCGTGCGGTAGCGGTGCGGGGATGGGGGGAGGTCCCCGCAGGGCCTGCCGGCGGGCCTGCCTGTCCGCTGCGGGCGGGTCGCCGCCGGGGACCCCCGAGCGCCACGCCGCCGCGCAGGCGTGTTCCTTCTGCTGGCAGCGGCCGTCCCTGTCGCGGCGGTGGGGCTAGGCCGAGCTCAGGGAGGGAGGAGGGGATGGAGGCGACGGGCCCTCGCCCGTGGGCGCGGCGGGCCCGCTGGGGCGTTAGCAGGGAACGGGGATGTCCCGGCGGTCTGGGGGCGCCGCAAGGTCACGCGTCCTTGGGGTAGGGACAGCTCCACCGGCGAGCGGCCGGGACCGGCGGGATGTACGGCGGGGCTTCCCGGACGCTTCAGCCAAGTGTTCCCCGCCCGCGGTAACGGGAGCGTCCCGTTAGCGACAAGTGCGTGGGGAGGGCTGCGGGTAAAGCCGGCATGCTTTACGCCGCATCGCTCCTTCTCTCTGTCTTATAAAGCTTTTTTATGGAGATCTGATTTAGAGAATCGGGTACGGACAGAGCTGTTCCTGTGCTTGCAGGAAATTAATGGTAGTGCAAGAAAGTAATGCTTTATTCTTAACGATCTTGCTAATATGAGGAACTAGCATTTCTTAAAACTTGAATGTAAAATGCCCACCATCATAAGCCTGGCTGCTTATTTCTGTTAAACACAGAACACCAAAAAAAAGAGGATGTGAGTTGTTACCTTTACTGAATGAAAATAATCACAGTTGGCAGCCTTTATCTGTTTTTTATCACTAGTAGTAAGGCTAGTTGGAGGGACACCCATCTTTCATTTGCTGTCTTTTTTTCATGTTCTGCCTGTAATTGTGTTTTCTTCCAATTTTAATTTGTGTGTGTAGTGATGTCAGGAAAGGCCGCATGGAAGCCAGGCCCTTCTTTCTAGTTGTTTCTATGAGTGTGGGCTCTGGGTACCTGTCTAGTGGAGCACTATCTCCATGTGACTTGGCAAGTAGCCCTATCTTCCCTTCTGAATCCAAGCAAGTTCCTTCTTCCTGACCCCTGCTTGCTGGGATTTAGTGCTTGCATTTATCCAGTACACTGCTATTTCTGAAATGCAGCTAGTGGCAGTAAGGAGTTGCAAAAAAAAACACAACAAAACAACCCCAAACCCAACCAACAAAAAAAAACCCCAAACAACAAAAAAATCACCCCAACCCTAACTCTGCTTAAGTGGAGGCAGATATGGAAGCAGTCAAGGTAGGAGTATGCCTGCCTTCCTGTTCTTAGGGACTTAAACCTAAAGTTTCCTGTAAATCTCTAATCTATTTGTAGAAGTTTATACAAGTAACAGCACTCTTGCTTCACACCTCTGACTTTGGAGGCTGTATGTCATTATGTGAAATGGTAAGGACTGCAAGTACCTGAAAAAGACTGATATGAGGTACCTGGTTAGACTTCTGCCTCTGTACTGTAAAACACTACACGAATAAAAATGCAACTGTCCCAAGAATTCCTTAATCATCATTAAATTTAGTTGTGGATGTGAACTAATACATTGCATATAATCAAGAATTACGCTTGCCAAACTATAGTAACTAAGGGTTTGGGATTAAAAGCCTACAGATTCAGCCAGAGGCGGGAGCTGCTCCATCCCCTGGTGGTTTATTCCCCAGCTGGAGTACAGCTTCCTATGGCTGAAGTGCCAGGATTGCCCAGCATCTGCTTCTGTCTTTAGCAATTTCTGATGCAATCCAAGGTGGCTTTGCTACTATTGCAAAAATAGTATGTTTGCTACTATTAAAAAGAAATTTATCTCTTTTTAAACTCTTATAAATTGCAATTTTGCTGTAATGTTCCTGTTGTTACAATGAACAATTACTTCCACAGGCAGGAAAAGCCTTTAGGAAATTTCTTCCTCTCTTTGATCGCGTTCTGGTTGAACGATGTGCAGCTGAGACAGTAACCAAAGGAGGCATCATGATTCCAGAAAAAGCTCAAGGGAAAGTGCTACAAGCAACAGTAGTAGCAGTTGGATCAGGAGCCAAGGGAAAGGTAAATACCCTGAAGCATGACATTTGGGTAGAATTAGTAATGATGTGGTGGTAGCTGGAATATTATCATAAGAAAGGGATGGTTCCTCACAAACATGGATGACGGCGATGACTGAAGTTGGAAGTATAAATGCAAAGAGGAGGTAGAAAGGGCATGTTCTCCTGACTGGCTCTGACCTTGAACTCCAGCATCCCTTTCATAATTTGTAAAATGGATAATACTTGCCTTTGAAAAATCAGTACTATTTATTGATATTTATCAATAGCTTTAAACAGTAGTGGTGTGTGTTTTGGTGGAGGTTTTTTTGGGGGTGGGTTTTTTTTGTTTTGTTTTGGGTTTTTTTTTTCTTCTTAGTGGGTTTGGTTGTAGTTTTCTAATTTTAAATGCATAAAGAGTGTTTAAGGGGCATACCTTGTTTCATCACTTCTCAGCCAAAACCTTGAAGGACTAGCAGCTGCCTTTGTTAAAATGATTACACGCCTCAATTTCCGTGACTTGTGAGCAGGGTGGAATCCCAGAATGTGGCACTCATTGTCTTGTGCCGTGCAGATGATATTGTCCATAAGAATTGGGCTTACTGGGCAAAAGAAAATCAAGAATCAAAATAACTGTTAAATGTTTTTTTATTAATTTTGCATGTTAAATATGTATCTGGGATCATTAAAAAAAAGCAGTCTTCACGTTGCAAAAATGTCAATGGCTATGGGCTTCAGCATCAGAAGGGTTTTTCCCCACCAAAGTAGCGCTCAGTGAGTAGCAATTGTGGAAAACAGGTTAAATTTCAACTTGGGCATGTTGACTCAGGCTTTTTCTTTACCATGAGTCCCTCTATACATACTATGTTTTGTGCCCGTATCTGATTTTCAAAGCTTTATATTGTGCAATGGTGCTTATATTTAACTAACATTCTAATATTTGGTTTAAAATGCAAAATTTAATTAAACCTTATCTGTTGTTTCTTAATTTATTTGCTAACAAGAGTGACAAGTTGATCAAAGTAACAAAGATGGGGATGTACTTTTAACTGGCACTTGGAGAAATTAGCCTTGGCTACAGAACACAGAGTGTACTTTCTCCCTCCATTTTAGAAGGGAGCTTTGTGGTCTGTCAATTTCTCAGGTTTCTTGGGTGGTGGTTTGTGGTTTTTTTTCATTAAGTGAAGCCCTATTTAGTATGTCAAATGAAGACCTCACAGTTGTATTTATACTCAGAATTAAATTAAAATTAATTCTACTCAGAAGATCACTGCAGTTGTACTGCCTAAATATTGCAGGACTCCAATGCTTGAGAATGGACTGGTGTGCTATTCTTCCTAGTAAACTTGTGTGTTCTAGATTCATTGTGCAACTAAAATGTTGAGTCATTGTGATTTCCTGAATGTTTTATATGTGGGTGGATCATTGCATTTTGGAGTAATTCTATTGCATTATTGTGGCTGTATTGTGGAGAACTAAGGATTTCTTTTTTTCCTTTCAGAATGGTGAGATTCAGCCAGTGAGTGTAAAAGTTGGCGAAAAGGTTTTGCTACCGGAATATGGTGGTACTAAGATTGTACTAGATGATAAGGTAGGTTTCCCACCTTTGTGAATGCAAATGAAGCTTGTTCCCAAAATGCCACAATGCCAGTGAGAAATGCTGTAGTTACTTCATAGGGTGAGCAGCATTCGGGAAAGGCAGTTGTTGATGCTCTAGTGGCAGGAGCTGGATCCAGCCAGCTTCAGGTACCCGTAGCACTTGCTACTTTCACCCCTGCTTAAAAGGAAGTGACCAGAAAAACCTAGAAACCTCTGGCTTGGCCTTTGCTGGCTCCATATGCCGAGCATATATAGGAGGGAAACCTGAAAGGCTTTGAAATTACTGGGGGGATCCTTGCTTTTGACAGGGAAAGCTCGCAGAATTGTCTTCTAACTGTTCTTGCACTCCCTACCACTAAAAATAGTAACTTGGTAGCTTTCCCAAAGAGTATCTTAAGAACAAAAACACCTCTTTCAACGTGTAGAGTTAGTCTTGCTTAACTCACTTTTGATTTTGTATTTCATGACTCTGGTACCCCTGACTTCAGAAC